ATTTTGGGCTTCGATCTTTTGAAAGGTTCTAGGACAAATAGGTGTTGGCATTGGAATACCATCCAAATTAACTATATTTAGATATGGTTTAATAACAGAAAGACGTTGTAGATTTTTCGTTATACCATCAAGAGTTGCAAAGTATGGACCAAATGCATATTTTAAACACATATCATCTCCTGTTTTAGAGTTATCTGGATTGATAGTACATTTAGTATTGGCAAGATTTTTGGGTGTTGGTTTGAATGATCCTCCAACAGCTCTTCTAAATGCATATACCTCAATATATATCATTTCTATTCGGATTAATGTCCACCCTGATCCATTATTTAGAAATCTTTCGATTTTTGCATCAATTTCTCCAGCTGAAAGAGTAATATGCTCATCTATATCATTTTCTGAAAGAATGGCTCGCATCTTTCCATTGTGATATTTTTGCTCATAAACTGGAACTGCTATCTTACCTTCACCTTTCTTTTCCATTTTCATATAATTGCAGTATACCACTATTGCTGATTTTATTTGATCTTTTCTTCGAAGTTCAGCTTTAAGTACACTTGTAATTTGTTCTCGAGCTGAAGCTATAAGCTGGGGCATATATGGAGCTTCTGCATATTTTTCGGGATCATCTATTGGTGTATTGAAAGCATATGCAGGATTTTCATATGACGGAACAATTGCCTGCCATTTGGATAGTGAAGATAAACTTGAGTGTTGTCTATCTGGATCTCCAACTTCAGCCTCTTCAAAGATTATATCTCCTGATGGTGCTTTAACAGCAATACTATCAAATCCCGAATCTCTATAGTGAGATTTAAATTTTTTGCTCTTTGCCTTATCTGCTAAAAGAGTACCTCCCAATTCAGGCCAGGATTCTTCGATCTCTGGTTCTTCTATTAAACCCAATGCAATAAGTAAATCGATCTCTTCTTGGGTAATATTTGATTCATTATTAGAATCTAAAGAATCTTTGCTTTGTGATATCTTCTCTCTATGTGCTTGAGTTGATGGACCTGGGCCGGCTTCTGAATCGATTTGTGGAATTGGTAAACTTTTTCGAATATAATCAACAACATCTTTCCTACTAACTTTCACTTTCTTCCCCCTTAAATATTGTTGTAAACCTTGAATGGCTTCATAAATAACTGAAACCCATCTGGAAGATAATTGTCCTTTCAATTCCCCAAGACCTTCTCTTTCTATTTCAGAATAAAATCGTTGTCTAGTAAACTCCTTTGGAATACAGCATTCCTGTTGCAAATTCTCGAATTTACCTAATTTTCTTTTCACATTTTGATATTCCCATTCAACTTTTTGATCTGAGAATAGTGTATCAGAAGTAATAGATGTTTCTGTATCTCGAATTGGTTCAGGTATTTGTATAGGAATGTTAGTTGGAGTAGGTATTGGATCAATATTTCTAGGACGACATGGATTTTTTCGATTAAGATGGGCACGAAGCATTTGTGGTGTTGCACATATATATCCACATCGATCACAAGTACGATTTTTCTTATCTTTTCTAGTCATGTATATGTATAATAAATTTATAATATAATACTTAAGAAAATCTTTTGTTTAATTAATTAATTGGGTATATCAAAAAGGGTATTATGTTATCCAATACTATAATAGATTACATGCTAGGGCTTCAAAAATGTCTTCTCAATAAGTGAAAAATCTGGCTCAAATTTTATTAGACTTAGCGTATATCAAAAATTTTTTATTAGACTTTTTCATTAGACTTAGCATATATATATATCGAAATTTTTATTAGACTTGGCATATATGTATAATTTTTATTAGACTTTTGTGTGCCAGAAAAGACAGAAAAGTAGTGAAGAATCGGCTTTAGATTGAATTCTGCTATATCAAAAAAAATGATATCATTCTTGATATGGATTTGGATAAAAGATTGTGTTCTAGATGTATGAAAAAATGATATGCTATTTGGTGTTTTGCGTGGTTTATTGATAGCAAAATGATTAGTGATAAAAATCATTATCCTTTTTGATATGAATTTGGGTAAAATAATGTATTCTAGATGTATGAAAAAATGATATGCTACTTGGTATTTTGAGCTTTGAATTGATAGCAAAATGATTAGTGTTAAAAATCGTTATCCTTTTTGATATGAATTTGGGTAAAATAATGTATTCTAGATGTATGAAAAATGATATGCTATTTGGTGTTGTTGTGTGTGAATTGATAGCAAAATGATTACCACTGTGCCAGAACACCCATTTTTGCCCTACTCGATTTATCAGAAATGATTATTTTCTGCAGTGATAAAATATTACACCGTAAAATCTTATAACAATATCATTACAATTAACGGATTACTATTACCAGATGTTGTAACACTTGATTATCAAACTGATTGTTGTATTCTGTGGTACGTTATTATTATTATTATAGTAATAGTATAAGTATATTCCATGATTTTTATATATTTTTTTTTAAGAGTATATAATGAATAATAAAAAAATTACACATTCGTTAATTGTTATCAATTGTTGAAAACATAACCATATCTTTCAAGTGTATACAGTCATTAATTCCACAATTCTTTTATTCCAATGGTTAAAGCTTTGAAAAATTACATTGTTGAAACAAAACAAAAAAGTGGTTCTAGTAACAAATTATGTTACTGCAAAGCTTGCTTTATTAAACTTGGTGAAAACAGCAATGAATTAAAAACAATAGTAGATAAAACTGAACGTATAATTCAACATTTTAATGATTGTCAAAATTTTCATGTTGTGTATAGCCAAGAAGAAAAACTTAAAATACTAGCTCTTGGTAATAGTAATAATAATGATAATAATAACAATACAATAAAAAGAAAAAGTAAATTAATTTATTTAATTAATAATTTAATTAATTAATAATTTATTTTATCTAATTAATAATTTATTTAATTAATAATTTATTAATTAACAATTTATTTATTATTACATGAATTAATTTCTTTTCTATTAGGATCAAATTCTACTTCGTCTCAATCATCTAATTATGGTCCTTTAGATAATTTTGTTGCCAGACCTTTATCTAAAGCAGATAATGAAGTTTTTCATAAACTTATATTAAAAGCCACTATTTCTTGTGGTTTTCCATTATCTTGGGTGAATAATCAAGAAACAACAGAATTATTTAAATTTCTCAACCCACATATCAAACTACCAGATAGAAAAACCCTTTCCACTAAACTATTGAATGATGCAGTTAAAGAATATGATAATGTCATGTTAGAAAAATTAAGATTAGATCAAATAGGTGTCACACTTATGTTTGATGGATGGACGAATGTTAGGCAACAAGAATTAATGGGATGTGTTCTTTTGATGTCAGATGGAGAACCATGTGTATGGCAAGCTATGGATATCAGTAGTGAACGTGATACAATGTTTGAAGTTATGACTAAAACTGAAGAATTAATTTCCAAATTAATAGATATGAAAATAACATTGTTATCAATAGTAACTGATAGTGCACCTTCCTATAATGCATCAAGGCAAGTGCATATTAATTTTTTCTCATTGCCTCAAACTATCATTGAATATTTTATTGATTTATAATATAAATCTTTAATTATTAGGGCAAGATTACGACTTAAACATAGAAATATTGTTTTTTTACCATGTTTTGCCCATCAGGTGAATTTGTGTGTAGGGGAAATTTTTAAAATTTCATCTGAGTTCAAAAATACATCAGGCAATGCCTTAAAAGTGTCAGCCTATTTTAAAGATGCTAGACATAAATATTTCATTGGCCAACTTCGTGATATTCAAAAAGAACTTTATAGCAAATATATTCAACTTGCACTTCCATGTAATACCAGGTGGAACAGTCAACATAATTGCTTTAAAAGTTTAATTGCTACTAAAAATGCTTTACGTGTAAGTTATTCTATTTATTTTTACAATCTTTCAAAATAGTAGTTTTGATTCAAATAAAATAATTGACAATTATTTTTTACATAGTCTTTGGCAATAAAATTTGATCCTTCTTCATCAACGAATACATTGAAAATTTCACATGAAATGTATTGTATTATAATGAATGAATCTTTTTGGGACGAACTTTTAAAATTTTGATTCCTTATTGCAATATTTTGAATAAACTACAAAGTGACAAGGCAAGATTATATGAAGTTTTACATTGTTATGCATATTTGTATCAATTTTGGAAAAGTTATTCTGATGAACTCTTGGCCAGTAGAATATTATCAAGATTGGAAAATAGATGGAGTTTATGGGAACAACCTCTTCTCATTCTTTCTTGGCTTCTTCATCCTGTTTACAAATCAAACTATTTCACTTCTGCTTCTATATCAAAAATAAGTTATTTACACATGGGGAAGTGGCTTGTTTATTATTATAAAGCATGGACTGGAAAAGAACCTAAAACTATTCTTAATGAATTTTATGATTTTTCACAAGGAAGAAAATATCCTTTTGATAATGCCTCCATTGATCAGTTTGAAAATAATATTCACAAATATTGGTGCTGGGTTCAGGATGCCTATCCAGAAATTGGAATTGTTGCAGCACATATTTTTGGTATTTGTATTAATGCAGCTTCAGTAGAACGACTGTGGAGTAGTATGGGATTTTTTCATTCAAAAAATCGAAATAGATTGGAGGTAAAAATATAGTTTTATTTACATTAATATAGTAAATTATTTTCTTTTTAAAATTTGACTATTTCTTTTACTATATGTAGTTCACTAGAGTCTTAGAAATGGCAAAATTGAAGGCTGGCATTACATATAATCGACTTCTTCAACAAGAACTTTCTTTATCAAATAAAGAAATAAATTTAGAAGAACAGAATAGCATTGAAAGAGAAATGATATTGGAAGCCGAATCTTCAAATGTAAATACTAACTTAAATGAAGAAAGTTATTTGGGTGGACAAAATGATGAACAGGATAATAATAGTTTAGAAGCAGATGTAATTGCACAGTTTAATAATAATTTGGGTGAGTGGATAGAAATTCTTCAAGAAGAAGAAAATGAATCTCTAAATGAGCTTATAAACATTGAAGATGATGAATTTTATAACTTAGATGTTCAAAGTATTGATCATCCAGCAACAAGCTCCGATGGGAAATGGAAATTGGAAGTTATATTAAAAAACGATATACATTGTCCTTTTTAATTTTCAATTTATGAATTTTTTTTTTGACGATATATATATATATTACAGGAGGGAACGTACTGGGAACACAAAATTAACAGGAGGGAACACAAAAATTTAACCCATGCAATTTTGTTGAT